AACACAATGACTTAAATTTTAAAAAAAAATAATTGACCCACGATCAAAAAAGGTTGCCGACCACTGGTATAAATTATAGTTCCATTTATTTATCATTTAAAGTTACTTACTCTTTATTCATATATTACAAGTCTAAAATTAACATGGACAGTTGAGGCCTTATACTTATTTGTATATAAAAAAAGATACATGAAGAGTTGAGGCCTTCTCCTTTACCATAAGCATTTCTTTAATGAATGTAAAGTGCAAAGCAACAAGACCTACTTTTAGCCAGAAAAATGTTTAACTTCTGCTTAGAAGTTTAGAAGTTAGACTAGCGTTTTTGACAATACCACTACTACTATTAGTACTAATTTTCCTGATAGTGATATTTGTGCATGAATAGTTTAAAAAGTTTTGAAGACTATTCCCAACAAATCTTAGAAAAGTTAGGAAAGACATAAGCATATGTATTGTTATCTTGAAGATAAATGCTTTTCATACTGACAGTTATGGTTACTGACAACACATGAATGCAAACACAAAATTTAAATAACTTGGTTAATTTTTAAGATAAAAAAGGAAGTTTTAAAAATTGGTTGTTTAATTTTCTTACATGAGTAAAGCAAAGTTGGAAAGTTTCACTGTGTATTTTACAATATTATAGCATTTCAGACATATTAAATAAAATACACTATACATATTGTTTTCTCAGTTTTATTCTTTGGTCCTGTCTTGTAAATTAATAAATATAATTTTTTCCTTCAGGAAATTCAGTGCAGTCTTTTATTCAGTCTTTTACCTTACTGCACACAGCCTTTACTGTTCAGATTGCCACTCCAGGAGTAAGTATAAAGATTGTTGTTAATGTGAAAACACATAGCAGTATTTTGTTAACTAAATTATCAGTATTTTATATTTTCTAATTTTATTGTTGTGGTTTTAATCTCCAAAATCCTAAAAAAGAAGTCTTATGGTACCTTTGTTTTTTATAACTTGTTTTTCAAAATGAAACCTCTCAAATCTTCAGTTTAACAAATTTCACTCTTTAGTGTTGGTGGTCATAAAATGAGAGTTTATTCATTATTAGGTTTGGATCTTTTGAATAAAATCACACAAGGTTCTTCATTTTCAATATTGTTTATAAGAAGATTTGCATAATGGGGCCACAGGAATAGTTACACTACCTAGTAAAGTTAAAGTAGCTTAGGCATATGGTGCTTACCTCATGCTATTAATGAAGTGTTGTATTCTGTCATAAACATAAAAATATCCATTTTTCATTACTATCAATTATTTCTGTGTATGTTTTTTTTAATTTGCAAAGATGTAATTTTAAGGATTTTAAGATATCAAATTGTAACTGTGAGAGAACAGTTGATTAACAACAGTTTGAAGATTTAAATAAAGATAAATTTGCGCTATATTCAAGAATGGTGCATTCAACCATACCTTTTATACATTTAATACAAGGTATCAGTTTGACTTCTTTTCAAATTGACAATTATTGATACTTCAATGCATATAATACCTAATTTCCAAAACAATATTTTTACTTCCTTTCACATAACAGCTTTTCTTAACTTATACTGCCCTGTATATTTACAGATATTTGCTTGCCACTAGCCTTGATACTCCCACCTACCCCCACATGAGGCAACTGTGTGATAGCATGCAAATGAGCATATGACAACCTTCCACCAATTCCTAGCATAGCTGACTCCTTCTATGTAGCTTAACTCAATTTTGCTTCTCAGTTGGCACTCATGGTGTTTAGACATGGTTTTTGCTCATGGAATTTTGATCAGTTACTTGGTTTCTTCCCTCATTCTACGCCACACAGTCATGTTTAGTTCCAGTGGATGTGCCCAGACATCCTTTCCTGGAATTGATCAACCAGGTTTGTTATATTTTGTCCTTGTCTCCTGTTTCCTTTGCTTTCTCTCCTTCTGTTTTAAGTGAGACAACATCTTTTCCTGCTTCCCTCTATCATCCATATTGGGGATCATTCCAGTGGGTTTGTGGACCAATTATATTCTGGAGTCAATATGCCTCGACCCCCACGTAATATGGAGGCTCATGCTTTTGTTTACCATCGGTTTATGTTTCCTTTTCTGGACTCACATTAGATGGATCCTCTTCTAACTCTGTGGGATTTGGATCCCAATATTTTGGTCACATTTCCCCAACCTCAGTTCTCCTGTATCTGCCTTACCTTATCCTCCCTCCTTTGTTCTCTTTCCTCCATTCACCTTTTGTCTGAGGCCCTTCATTGTTCACCTGAGGAGTTTTTGGTGGAGACTTGTTGCCTGATGTTTTCCACTCTGGCATGATTGACCTCTTTCACCTTTTCCCTCCAAACGTGATTCCTCTGTTGTTGGGATCTTTTGGGTCTGGATGCCCTTTTTTCCATGTCTGTTTATCCAAAACTCCTTATGGGACTTATTTATGGCTTTCTTTTTAAGGCAAGATGTCTTTGGGGGACTTCCTGACTTGTTAAAATTCAGAGTTGAATCTGCCCGTTTGCATACCTTCCTTTCTGTCTCAACCTCTTCCTGAGCCTGTTCCTGTGTCTCTTCTCCCTCCTTCTTTTACTTTACTGGTTCCTGCTTCATGCATCTCTTAGGTCAGTCATTAGTTTTTCATCAATGACTTTAGTAGATATTGGTAGATACAGATCCTGTGAGAACCAGGCTTTTGCATTTTATCACTTTGTGGGAGTCATTCACCACAGACCATTGGGCTCTGGGGGTTCTCTCTGAAGGGCTCATTCTTCATTTTTCTTCCCATCCTCCCTTGTCCTCTTATCCCATTTCTTTCTCCTCTCCTTGGGATCCCATTTCCAGTCAGCAACTGTCCAAGGAGGTTCTCAACCTTCTTCACAAGAGTGCTGTGGAACAGGTGGATCCTTCTCATACTGGTTTCTATTCCCATTTGTTTGTTGTCTCCAAGAAGACCAGGGACTGGTGCTCCATCATCGATCTTTCTTCCTTGAACCACTTCCTTGATTCACCATGGGGGTCATACCTATCTCTTCATTGTGTTTTCACTCCTGGTATGCGGATGATGAAGGTAGATGTCTCTGATGCTTACCTCCACATTCCCATCTCCCCAGCATCCCAGAAGTTTCTTTGTTTTGTCCATCGGGATTGTGTCTACCAGTTCCTGGATCTTCCATTGGGCTGGCTTCGCCTCCCTACCTTTTTTCTCAGGTAGTCAAGGCTTTTGCCTGTCTTCTCTATTCCAGGGGCGATAGAAGCCAAAAGTCTTTAAAAAATCCCAAACAAAATAGCCCATATATACCATTGGACAATTTCCAGTTACTACGCAAAAAATTATGACAGTCAAGCCAACCAACTCTAGCTGATGGATGCAACATACCCACATAATAGATCATCTTGATGTAAGATAGTGAAATGTAAAGGCATGCTTTTTTAATTTTTAAGGACTTCAAAAGTAAAAGACACAAGTACTTTTGATTAAAAAAGCACTAACTATATGCACGGGTGCTGAGAATTACAAACTGCTGCTAACCAAATTTTGTGATTAATTTGGGTTCTTAGGGATTTATTATATCCACAGATATCAGAAATATTATGACCTCCCCCCCCCAAAAAAAAAATATTTTGACTAATCTGCCTGATCTACTGTGACCTTGTTGATATGGCAATGACAAATTTTTGACATTTGGTTGAAATTATGCTTACTATTTTTATACTGTTTGTAGAAAAATCATAAAATATTTGTAGGATTAGATTAGTAGTTCTGTAATAAAAATTATTAAAAAAATACTAAATTATATGTGTATGTAATAAATTTTTTGCAAATTGTTAAACTGATGCATTAAATATCATTTTTTAGAGATAAAAAAGAGCAGTTGTTCAGTAAATATTTAAAATATCTAATTTTTACCTTTGATCCCTAGAAATTATAGTGACACACATGACACATCTTGTCTCCTCTATTTTAACCACCACCCCTTGGAAAAGTACAAAATTAAATGTAAATTACTCTCTATAAAACCTATATTGCTCAGACAAACCATAATTTTTATAGTCTTCAATTTTGTTTGGTTACAGAGCTATCGATTAGAAAATCAGATCCCTCCTGCCACACCCACCTGTCTCATCCTGTCTTTCAGAATTCTTTGATAGTTCTCTCTTACATTTCATTATATATATAGTCAAGGTTTTCATCTATCAAATGATGTATTGTATAACATTATGTTCTGAACAGTTAAATTTCAATCTCACTAAGAGTACGAACATCAGTCTCGTGAGAAAGTTAATGACTAACTTGGATGAATTTGTAATAATAATAACTCTTTTTGTATAGTTAGAAAGCCAGAAAATTTTTGAGAGTTAAGTGAATTTTCCTACTTTTTGCATGTTAATAGTCAATATTGTCTGGTGCATTATTTAATTAAATAAAAATTATTAAGTGCATTACTATCATTAGTATATAATAATTAGGGTTAACTCTCTTCGACAGTCGACAGCAAGAAAAAAGAAAGATAGGTTAAGTACTTTATTTCTTGTTTTTCATGTTTATTCTTTGTCTAATTATAAAAGTAACTAAAATGTAAAAATAGGGATTCTTTTAGGTTTGTTAGGATTAGATTGGGTAAAATAAATAATAATAATATTATAATAAAAGTGTTTCATGAGGCACACACTCGAGCAGCTCGTAGTAGCTCATGGGTAATGTGATTCTTCAGTGTAAAGTGAGCTGCACATTCCCTGAATGATTTAGATCTTATAATGGCACAGATAGTAGTTAGACATGGTTCAAAGGGCAATAAAACAATAAAATTGAATTATAAATGGATGTATACTGTTACGAACTTAGAGCTACTTAGAATAAACAAATGTAGTTTGATTTTGAAATTTGAAGTCATTCTAGAATGAAAAAAGGGTAATTTAGATTTATTTGTTTTTGGTAGTGATAAGGTTGGTCGAATTGACTGATTCTATTTTGAGATAGGGTAGAGAAAATAAC